TTGACATAGGATGGCGTCGCCAAGATCAGAACAAGGTCAACTTTGCTTTTTTAAATAGAAACACATATTTTTATTACGGAATTTTATTCTACGTAAGAAAGCAAAGAACTTTTGCTTGAAAAAAGTTTTTATACAACCTCTATTTTCTAAGATATTTACGTAAATATCTACAAAATTATTGGTTTCAATAATTTTTTACTTGAATTCTATCAACTTTACCGAAAAATATCAAAAGATAAAAATTGCTTATTTTGTTTTCATAGACCTCTGAGAATTTTTTCAGAATTTTGTGTTAACTTTTTAGTACTTCAAGAAAATGCAAGAAATTGCAGTACTAAAAAAGTTAATATAAAATTCTAAAAAAATTCTCAGAGGTCTATGAAAACAAAATAAGCAATTTTTATCTTTTGATATTTTTCGGTAAAGTTGATAGAATTCAAGTAAAAAATTATTGAAACCAATAATTTTGTAGATATTTACGTAAATATCTACAAAATTATTGGTTTCAATAATTTTTTACTTGAATTCTATCAACTTTACCGAAAAATATCAAAAGATAAAAATTGCTTATTTTGTTTTCATAGACCTCTGAGAATTTTTTCAGAATTTTGTGTTAACTTTTTAGTACTTCAAGAAAATGCAAGAAATTGCAGTACTAAAAAAGTTAATATAAAATTCTAAAAAAATTCTCAGAGCTCTATGAGAACAAAATAAACAATTTTTATCTCTTAATATTTTTCAGTAAAGTTGATAGAAGTAAAAAATTATTGAAACCAATAATTTTGTAGATATTTACGTAACTATCTTAGAAAATAGAGGTCGTATAAAAAATGTTTTCAAGCAAAAGTTATTTGTCTCTTTACATTGAATAAAATGCTGTAATAAAAAACACATTTCTATTTAAAAAAGCAAAGTTGATCTTGTCCTGACCTTGGCGACGCCATCCTAGGTCAAATAACTACTGTCGTTGAATGCGACTTTTTAAGCCTTGCAACTTTTATCCGAAACATTTTTTTCTAAAATGCATCGTTTATGACATATTTTGGTGTATCCAGATTTTTGGCTCACCCTGTATATATATATATATATATATATATATATATATATATATATATATATATA